ACCGGGGCATTTATGTGCGCCTGCCTAGTGACCAGGGCTGGCCCAAGCCATTCGTGCGCCCCCGGGCGCCTGGCAGCCCCAAAAGGTTGGGGACCACTGCTATAGGCCTTGTGGTTTGACAGTTCTTGCAGACTTTGGCAGTGGTGGAGCAGGTGAGATGAACAGGACGAGTGCTAATGTGGGAAAGAAATGTATGAGGATCCCAAAGAGTTATAGAGTGACAGATGCATAAAGGATCAAGAGGCTCCCTTCATACATATTGCCAAGGATGTTTGCTTATTTTCATTCTATTGTATGGCCTTCTTAACAGTTATCATTTAAAAAAAACAGCATTCACCAATAGTGACCACATCACAGTGTCTGATATACTACAGGTAACACCATGGTACATCATATACTAGAGTGTGACAATTGGTAAATTAACTTTTTAAAGGCAACTGCTGTAGGAACCAATCTACAATAGAGCAGATGTATAGAAGATAAAAACAAATAAAAAAAACAAGTATCAATGGGGGAGCCAATGACTTATCTAAGACTTATCCAAGAGCTACTGGATAAACTCTGTCCTTAGGAAGCACAGAGAGATTATTACAAAATGTAATTTTTGGAAAGAAAATAGTGTCTATTTTTTCACTTCTTAGTTGATTACAGAAGGAGTCTCACATCCTAATGTAAATCTGATATATACCACAGCCACCTAACATTCAAATAGATGTCTCAGAGGGGTAACCATGTTAGTCTGCCACAGAAAAAACTTAAAAAACAACAAATAGTTCTGCAGCACCTTAGAGACTAACAAAAAACGTAGATGGTATCATGAGCTTTCATGAGTGGGTTGTGCTCACGAAAGCTCATGATACCATCTACATTTTTTGATAGTCTCTAAGGTGCTGCAGAACTATTCATTGTTTTTTAAGTTTAGTCAGATAGATAAAAGCGAAGAATGGAAAGCTAATCAGGAGAAGACTATGCTCAGGTGTTTGAATAGGAATGATAGCAAAAATACTGACACCAATAATTACAGGTGCCCAAAGACTATACTATTTTATACAACCCATAATCCTTATGTATATTATCTTAATTTCAATGTGTACAATGCAGATTCAATCCTAAAGGCATTTTCAGTTTGGATTTCTACCATAATGATCGTAAATCTGGAGCAGGAAACTTGAAATCGTTAAAGTCACATATTTATAAAATCATATTCAATTAGGTTAGAAAAGTGCAATTTCTGTCATCATGTCATAAAAAGATGTGTTTTTCTCTCAGATCTACTATAAAGAAAAGCTCCCTATATTGTTACAGATAGGGGCTGTTTTCAATCAGTAACAAGGAGCAATCCAATTACTAGATGGTTTAGTGCAGTAACTGACTCCAGACTAATTTAATTTCTTTAGGTCTCTAAAGATCAATTGATCTGATTTGTTTCCCTCCCCACAGGCTTTTTAGGAAAAAAGCAGACTTAAATACCTGGAAATGAAATCCAAAGCTTTGTCCGTTTTCACACTACTTAAGTCATCCTGCAAACTTGCAGCTGATGATGAATGAGTGTTCTCTTGGCCCTTACTTCATGGGATGCTTCACAGATTAGAGATAATTAAAATCACTGTGCAACATTTAAAATTATTTATGCATGCATTGTGTGCATGTCTGCTTTGGAAAGCCCATACACTGCATGGAAAATCTTCTTGCAACACCTAGTCAAATTTTCAACCATAAAGAGATGTGTAAATGTGTATTTGCCTTGCATATTCTTCTCCAAGCCATAGAAATAAAATAGCAATATTGTTTATTTCAAGTGATGGACTTGTTGAAACTACTTATTATGGTTGACAGAAAAATGTATTACCTAAAATATTGTAATACTGACATTTAATCCATGTCAAATATGAAAAAATCATACTGCCTTATTCTTTGTCGCATGGGATCACTAGATCATATTTTTACTATTTCTTTTTCTTTCTGTTGGGCTCATTTAACTGTCACCTTAGGTGATGCTATCATTGGCTATTATAAAAACATACTATACTATGACTGGAGATGTGCATCTTACAAAAGGAACACTTTCAGATATTACTTTTCATATTTTAACATGCTTAGGTATTTTAATGTCTATGAACAGATACAATATTTTACAATTCTGATCCATTAAACTAAGTATAAGAAATTTAAAAAAAAACCTCAACCAGTCTCTTATCAGCACTCTTATATGTTACATTTTTACTTCATTGCTAGTTGCTGTATTATACAACAGCGTAATTTTTAAAAATGCAATAGGCTACTAACAAGAGGGAATCTTTCAATTTAATAGCAAAATAGATGCAAGGCAACTTTGGACCAACAGAAAAGCAGGACCCTCCTGTGGCTTCATGGTTTGTACATTCCATTTCTTGTATTCAAGATATTACACTTAGGTACCTTATTTTTGATGGCAGCATTCATGCCTGCCCAGGATAGGCTGTCTCAGACTCTGTTCTTACATGTCTCAATAATCAAAATGGCATTGTGGATTATGCTTCACTACTCTGACTTCGTGACAAGTGCTGTAAGGTTAAGATGTCCTTTGTAAAAACTCCCTTTACAGCCAGCAATTTCATCTCGATTGTTTCAATCAGTTTATATGCTTGGAGGCACCTAAGCATTTTTTCCTCAATCTCTTGTTCAGTATTTTGTGTTCCCTGTTGGAGATTATCACATTTACTGTCAGAAAGGGATCATATGGTAGTCCTCCCATCTTCCTACTTTCAGTGTTTATTTAAAAAAATCTGGTCACTGCAGTTTGTTTACCCTTGTGTTCTGTCATTAGGCCATGGTATGCTTATTTAATTAGATGAACTTCAGCTTTTTCACTGCTTACTAAGACTTTCATTTGGAAAGCAATTTTCACCAGCCTTTAAATATTTCCTATATTATGCAAACTCCATTTATCACTGTAATTCTTCTTTGCCCTATTTATCCATCACACCACTTCTAATTCAGTCTCTGCTTTATTCCACTAACTGTTTAAAGCAGTGTGACTTACGTTAAATACATAGGTAACAAAGCTAATAATCAATGGTTTTGCCTGGAAGTCAGTTTGGGTATGTCTACACTTGCACCCTAGTTCAAACTAGGGATGCAAATGTAGGCATTCGAAATAGTTAATGAGGCGGGATTTAAATATCCTGCGCTTCATTAGCATGATCTCGCTGGCGTGTTACTCCGATCAACAGCTGTTTCGAAAGTGAAAGTGTGCACCGGGAGGCGTTAGTTCGAACCAAACCACTTGGTTCGAATTAACATTACTCCTCATTTTTAGTTTGGTTCAAACTAACGCGTACCGGCACGTACTTTCACTTTCGAAACAGCTGTTGATCGGAGTAACACGCCAGCGAGATCATGCTAATGAAGCATTAAAATCCCCGCTTCATTGACTATTTTGAATGTCTACATTTGCATCCCTAGTTCAAACTAGGGTGCAAGTGTAGACATAGCCTTGCTTACAAAAAAAATGTGCCTTTCCCCAAATAATATTATTGCTGGGATCAAAGCATTCCTGAAATTTTGTAATGATAAACACATAACAGTTTGCAATCCTCTATGTGGCCACACAGGGTTGTACTGCAGATCAGTGTTTCTCAAACTTTTTGATGCCAGAGACAGCTTGCTATCTTCCTAAACTGTGTTGGGGCGAACTCAGAGATTGATATTGGTCCAGAGGCCAGTCATTGAGAAACTCTGCTGTAGATCATCAGGGCCTTTGGGCCAGACACACATAGAGGTGTGGAGGATTTCATCCTTTCATAGTATTTTTCCAGTATCACTTGTCTCTAGGCTTCATTAATCAGTCAGATCCTCTTCCAGACTGAAGGAGTCTGATGGCTTAATTTGCTCTATTTTTGACAAAATGTTAGTTTACATTTGACTCTAAGGGTGTGTCTAGACTACAGGTTTTTTTTTTTTGAAAAAGTGGCCTTTTTTCTAAAAAACATCCCCTGTGACTAGACTGCCGCCGCGTTCTTTCAAAATTAAATAGAAAGAATTCTGCAATTGTTTCAACCTCGGTAAACCTCATTTTACGAGGAAGAATGCCTTTTTTCGAAAGTGCTCTTTCAAAAAAAGACGGTCTTGAATGCAAACAGGTCTTTTTTGAAAGAAAGCATCCAGCGGCTCGCTTTTTTGAAAGAAGTGGTTGCAGTCTAGATGCTCTCTTTCAAAAGATGTAGCCTAATTGGTAAAGGTGAGACTGACAGGAGTAATGATAAGAAACTGATCTTTATTTCCTAGTCCTTCGCATCCATAGTGGTTCTGCATTAATGCCCTCATCACAAGATAGAGCTAAGTATCTACTTACTACAGAGGCAACTCATAAACACAATCTTCATAGCCTTCTCCAAACATATTCCTCCCCCCTCCCTGTTTCACCCCAGAATGAATCCTGCAGTACAAAGTAGCATTTCTGCCATCAATGTGTGGGTTATGGATTTGGACTCAACAGCAGGACTTCCAAAACTGTCCACATGAAAAGTACACAGAATGCCAAAGGAGAAAAATGTGAATGAGGTTTTAACTGTGTATTTTGGGAAGCGCTCCTGTTCTTTTTCCTTAAGGGGAACAGTGGATAATACAAGGTTTTTGTTGTTGCTTTTTTAAAGTACCACAGATCGCATTTCCTGGAGGCCCAGCTCATCACCTCCAGTAGGACTGAATGGAATGATAAGAAGGCTGCTTTCTATGCTGCAACTTAAGAAAAATGGAAGCCATAAAAGCGACCCTTTAAAAAAGCAGCATCAGAGAAAGGAATATATCAGAGTCAACTGGAGCAGCTGTCAAGGCTCAAAATAGCTCTGTCTTCATACGGTTTATAAGTATTTTGAAAGGAGGTGGAGGAGACTTACTATATGCAACAAGATAACGTTAAAATGCACAGCTTCTCAGGAGTTGAAAGGATGCTTTTTCCTACATACTCTCTCTTCTCTTTATCTTATCTGCATGGAAAGTAAACAACAAGTCCCCATTACCTCTCAATATCAGTGAGTCTTGAAGAGTCCCGGAATCCTTTAGCAAAAGGGTTGCTGTCAATTTTCAGCTTGGTTATCTGGAAACACAGAAAAGAGCAACACAACATGAGCGTGGAACAAAGGTATTGCAGTGGACAAAGTGTTAACCAATCCATACTCATGACCACACAACTTCATGTATTCACATCCCCTTTTCTTTTATGGCTACTCTCTGAACTGCAGCAAGCAAATATGAGCACTTCTGTGAAACCACTAACATGGCTCCGCCAAAGTCAAAGCTCAGGATGCCAAGTCTGATTCTCTTCACACACCAGGATAAAATCAGGAGGCATTTCACTGAAGTCAATGGACTTACACTGGTGTAAAACTGATGTAAGGGAAAGCATGAATCAGGCTTCCCTTCTGGCATCTGTCCCAAAGTCCTGTGTCATGATAGCTGATAGGGCAGGGCAAGGTCATGGATCTAAAATGGTTGTGTGTGTTAATGGAGGGAGCTAGGGAAACAGTAGATTGAGGATTCCAGTTAAACAGAAACAGGGGGAACCTGTGAGGTGCCCCATCTTTAACTATGGTAAAGAAGGAAATAATTTGATTCTACAGGAATCTCAAGCTATTGTCTCCAAAGCAATTTCCATCTGCACAAAGCAGGTCATAGTTCTCTCCATGCAGCACTGAAATATAAGCAGCAAACGACACTACACTGGCATTATGACCTGTTTTGGTGGGGTGCCCCCCAATCTGCTAGGTTTGAATGTAATACAACTGCCCCACGATGATCCTAGTAAAACATCCACAGAGACACTGGCATTGTTTTGTATGGAGAAAGGGGAACACATCACAGTTAACACCAGATTTGGAAAGGCTGAATTAAAAGAGTGACCCTACTAAAACAATTTGGCTACGTCTACACTGACATGAATTTCTGAAAATGCTTTTAACGGAAAAGTTTTCCGTTAAAAGCATTTTCGGAAAAGCGCGTCTAGATTGGCAGGATGCTTTTCCGCAAAAGCACTTTTTGCGGAAAAGCGTCCATGGCCAATC